TCCAAAATGCATTAGCTGCTGCTGGCATGCAACATTATGAAACTACCTGCAGAGATATCTTATTTTTATTCTCAAATATAGATCTAAAGAATCATACAATAATACAGCATCCTGATCAGTTCTCTTGTTCACATTATCTTAAAAGTGACTTCTTTATAAAGATTTAATAATATAACAAAGTTTGGGTTCCTGTGTCACAAGTCCATAGCAACACAGACTCTGCATGGTTCTAAAGCAGCCTATTTATATAGTTGGCAAAACCTAAGCAAAAACCCTAAAGTTTGTGTTGCTGGTGTAATGACTGACTCCACAACTGTCTTGAGGAAAAAGGCAGTTTCCTTTTTCCTATCATCTAAACATTGATGCCATAGCAACAAAAGAATCATTAATGTGAGAAATTCTAACACTTGAAATGGGCAGTTATAGAATATAAACAGCATTCTCCAACCTGTCCTTTCCAGATGGTTGTGATTGCAGTTCTCAGGATTTCCAGCCAGAATGGCTGCTGAAGGCCATCCTAGAGTTTATGGGCCTTGTCTCTCTAAAAACCACAATTGTTTTCAGTGGAAGAGCAACCGGAGGTTGAATGAAAAGGTATCAAATAGTTTACATGTATATGTGAATAATGTATGTAAATATGGGCTTGCCTGTCCAGAAATATGGTGTTTATAGATCCTTTGACTTGTTATTTCTATCATTTCAGCTGAGCTTCAGATTAATTCAAAGGATTTACTTTGATTACCATAGGAATCAACCATCCTAATAATGTCCTTTAATAAATGGCTCGGGAATGTGTGCTTTAAATGCAACATTCAAAATTATGTCACAGCTAGTTATAGAATATAACTAAAATAGTTCCTACACAATAGTTTTACATGTTGTTTTTATTTATTGTTCTTACCTGCAGTGGACTTCAAAGAGAAACCATAGCTATTTTTTTCCTTAGTCAAATAACAGAGATGGGGCTGTGGAGCTGAACATGATTCTCCAGATGTCACAAGTAGGGAATTTTCTGTCTGCTCTTGGACTAGTGACTTTTGAGCCAACTCTTCAAAACTGATTCCTTCTTTTAATGCACTTTCATAAGAATGGTCATCCAAAACAAGGAATAATACAGGAGTTACACTTTTCCTAATTAAATCAGCCACCTATAAATGATGCATTGAGAGACTAAGAGGTAACCAAAGGAAATAATTAAATGACATAGAACATAAACTGAAATTGGAGAAAAACACTTGAGGGAGGCCAAATAGCAGCTGTGTCTACAGAGAGGATTAAAAAAGTCAGAATGGCAGCTGTGACTGTGCAATCAAAATCCCACCCCTTTTTAATATGCATGCATCTTGGGTTTTTGGTTTTTTTTTTGTTTTGTTTTTTTGACATACCCAGCCTGCTCTGAAGCCCATGGCAGATAGAAGAATAATTAAAAAGTAGAATTTTCATAAAATTGACAATTGCTAGCATGGAGAGAGAAAATTATGATCCTGAGTATTTGTGAAAAATACCTGGTGTAGCAATTACTGTTTTATGATACAACCTAGTTTGATATTCATTCTCTTGAAAATTGTACTTATGTGATAGGAGCTTGAATAGTGCTTTCATATCCAAAGCTGTAGGAAATAAAAAGATAGAACATAGCTGGGTTGGCTAAGATCAGCTATTACAAGTCACTGTAAATGCCCTCAAATGGTGGCTATCAGGACTTCACCACATTCTCATCTTTCCTATTGTGCAAGGATGAGGACTCCACAATATTAAATTAGCCAAAAGTCTCTTCAAAGTGCTTGGAAGCTGGTTGTCATTTAAGTTTCCCTATCATTATTGACTGGGTGTAAAGGTTAAGGTAAAGGGAAACTGAATTCTTTTGCTCACATGGAGAATGACAATTATTCCCTGCTTTTCTCTGAAAGGAGGAAATATTTTCTTTCTTTGAAGAAGCTTTATTTTTGCTTTATATGGTTTAGGTGCTGGCAGAACAGAAGATTTTGGAAGTGTTCGTCTTTGGAGGAAGAAAATATTTTGAGTAAATGCATACAAGGATCAAATTAGTCGATCAGGGATGTGTGCGTGTATGTGGGCTTTGCATTAGAAAAATGCCAAATTAAAATGTATCCTACCTTTCCATGATCTTCCTTATCTATAAACACTCCATTAATCCTCAGGATTCTATCTCCATCTTTCAGTCCTGCCTTCTCAGCTGGACTACCCTTTTCTACATTTCGGATAAGATGCCCTGTTTTGAATCTCTCAATGCGCAGGCAGAATCCATAGTTTTCACCATCTTCTTTGATCAGTGTGCATTCTCTGGGATGAAGAGACATCATTTCTGTCAAAAGAAGTAGAGAAAAAAAATATATCTGCCAGAACATAATCATGTAGGGGAAAAAAGAGTTTATTGAAGGAAATTGCTCAAATAAAATGAACCAAGCAAACTGCTCATAAAAGAGAATGAAGGAGGAAAAGAAAGCATTTTGACATGAGAAAAAATGTACTGAATACTGCTGATGGGGTCATCTCAAATAATGAATTTATCATAGCATCCTACAGATATTTTCTTAGAAGAAAATTTGATTGAGTTCAATGTAATTTTGACCTAATAGTATCAAAGAAGTATTTGGCTATATTGCAGTACCTAGCCTGTATTTGTCAGCCCTTCAAAGTAGGTTATGTCAGACCTATTGTAACTCTATTATCATAGGGTGCAATAACAGAATTTATTTCTCCTCTTACACAAAAAGAATCAAGGCAGAGCAATCTTGAATTTCTTCCCCACACCCTCGTCTCTTTCTGGACTAAGCTAATGTTTTCATAATGGCTGGCACATATCTCCTTCTAGGTTATATCCATACTCTACAGTATTGGCTGCTCTCAAAAAGCTAAGCTGGGTTGGACCTGATTAGTACTTGGAAGAGAAACCAACTGGAAATACCAGGGCTATAGGCCAGACTGGGAAATGAAAAATAATCCAGAAATATGCAGTGGCAAACAATTGGTGTATTGTTGCAGAGAAAACTACGAAGCTTTGCCTATTAGATTGCTAGGAGTCAAACTTGACTCAAAGGAAACTTTAATATGAAACTATAGATAACTAATTCAGTGCCTGTGTTAATTCTACACTTAGATAGGGGGATGGAAGAATCAACAGGACACTTTGGGCATTCTTAGTAACATGAATTAGATATTATGCAGTGCATTGAACTGAGAAATACTGAACAACAGAGTCTTCCCCAAGTAAGTGCTGAAATTATAATCCTCAATTTCTCAGTCAATGTTTTTCATGAGTTAAACATGAGGGCATGAAGGCATAATTTATTGTACATCCCATTAGTACTTCTGTTGTTACTCCTCAGTTATGGAGAGCGAGGCATACTACTGACTTTGTACCTCAGGATTTCTTCAACCTCACCTCAGATAACCACGTGAATACCCATGGAAAGAATTGCAGAGAATTGAGGGGAGCAGTTAGAACTTCTTTTATTTATTTGAGGCCAAGGTAAAACCAGGCTGATTCTCTTAAACCCCTTTTGCTTATTTTTAAAGTCCTGTGTGAAGTGAAAGATCAACTACAGCACCTTTCAAGGCCAGTAGAAAGCACAATGTGTTGCTGACAACATTTGTCTACACTGTTCTCCTTTAGAACTTTATTGGCTAGTAATCATATTGCAATTTTAGTGTCTTGTAATAATATGTACTTTGCTCACTCTTCCTTTGCTCAGGATGCATGATAAACTTAGTGACTTAGTTAATATATCAAGAATTATGGTTAATAAGTGGAAGATTTTTCTTAGGTCAAGAGATGAGACAATAAAGAATCAGAATATTTTACTTGTTAAACTGTTTTATCTAATGCCAAATTTTAGGTTATTTTTATAACTTGCTACTTGGGCTTTTTGGCCATAAATAAATTGAACTGAATTGAATAAGTGGCGTTCGGACTGTCTTCACTACTGTTCTTTTCATTTTAACAATGACTAAGACAGCTGATGCTTTTAGTTCCCTTGACAGATTGTTAAATAAAATAAATGGACTCCTTTTTAAAAGCCCTGTCCACCCACCCTAGCAGTTCTAATTAAAAGAGCCATAGAGTTCTTGAGAGGATTGCCTATCAAACTCTTGACACATTATGCTGGGTACATAGAGAGGTAGGAATAGGATTTCCTCTAAAGACCTATCCTCTAAAATATGTTCAGCATCATCTCACTGGTGACTCTTGAACAATTGCTATCAGTCTTTTCTACCTATACATAACAGGGTTACTGTTATGAGGATAAAATGAGGGGAGATTCACATCTGTGCCTCCTTGAACTTCTAAAGCCAGAATATGAACAAATGAATATATGACTCATGAAGGACCTCAGTGCAGCCAGGCATAATCCTATTCTGTACATAGATTTTCTCAATGTTATTCCAGATATGAGTATTAGAACCAACAAGCATAATCCATTTTACCAATCTTCATAAATTAAAAGCATATTTGGTAGTTATTTGACCATTGATAAAATATACAATCTGATTTAACTTTGTGCAAGACTATATTTAATATTTTGAGGGAAAAAAAATACTTTCAGTTCCCTTTCTCTTCCTGCCCTCCCACCTCAGATTTGGAAGAAAGAAGGCAACAGCATTCTTACCTGCATATATAGCGCAAATCCTCAGAATGATCTCTAGTCTCCCATGCTCTGAACTGCTGAAGGTAAGCACAGTTGCACTTTGAATGAACAAAGGTTGAATTAAAAGATGATTTATTTAACAGGGCTTCGCTGTGCACATTCCTTGATAACCAGTTTTTCATTACTTTTAGCTAAGCAGTACTGACCTTTCCTTGGTAGTTTGGATCCTTCCCTAATAGTTCAGAGATCATTATAAACATTTAGATTCTTACATGGATTTCTGCTGAGATAAACATGGCATTTATTATGACCAACAGTCATCCCCCCAGTTTACTCCCTAAGCTGAGAAATCTGAAGACATTTCATTATGGATATATATAGTATATGTATGTGTGTCTGTGTGTGCATGCACACATGTATGTGCGCAAAACTTAGCTTAGACCTGAGTAAAGCTTGAAAAACATCTTAAATATGATAAAAATTTAACACCAAAACAAAATATCCATCTGAGTCTTTGACCTGCTCATCCAATAACTTCCCATGTATTTATGATGATCCAAGCTACAATATGTCAATCCCTCTTCCTGTTAAAGCTTGCAAGATTGAAATATAGTATGTCCAGATGAGACCCTACAAAATTAAGGTGAAAGAATAGATGGAAAGTTAAATAGGTAGATATATCCTTAACTTTGAATATCTAAATATCATGATTTGGCACACACACACACATATTAAAGATTCCATTATTTTAAATCATGATATTTGAATTTTCAAAGGAAACTATATAAATTTAGAAAGGCAATTATTTTTTAATGAGTACTTCCTGTAATATTTTAAAATACTCATTATAAAAATAGCTTTTCTCTACTAAGGTACCCTGCAAATGTCTTAGTTGGAAAGCCTACATTCGGCTTCGAGACCATATTGCTGCGTGATAAATCCACATCTACCCTCATTCCCTTCACTTGTTTTCAAACAAAGCTATTGACCTAATTCTCATGAAGTACCTGTCAATATTTAAGGCTTATACATCCCAGATTCAAACAGGATTAATGGGATAACCTCTTCACAAAGAACTCTGGGAAACAGAGTCCTGGGATGAATTGCTAACTGCATAGTAATTAGATTAACATACAGAGTTCAACTTCCAGGTTAAGTTAGGTCACCATTTTTCTGTCTCCCCTCATACCCTTCTTGCCTTGGGTGCAAAAGAAAACTGCATACAGAATTCATGAGAGTTCCTGAGATCCCATAGCTTTCTCAGATCTCCCTTTGTCCCACAGAAGAAAGAAACAAACTCTACAATTCTTTTCAGGTAACTGAAATTCAGCTCTCCCTCTAAATACTTTATTCCCTTTGTTATTAACAGAGAATTCTTAATCCCTTACCAACTTAAATTGGTATAAACCAATATAAATCTGCAGTGTCACTAGATTCTGCTTCATCTGGGCAGGAGCATTGATACTGAACTTCATGAAAATACCAATCAGACTGTCCCCTTGTTTCTTTGTCAGTTCAGGGATTGCATCTGGTACCTGGCAGAATTCCTAATTTTAATCTTAGAGAAGATTAAAATTAATCTAGAATCTTAATCCTAATTTCAGAGAAGAAATACAAAATGTCAGCTGAAGGAGGATTCAATAGCTATCTTACATTCCAAGAACTTATTTTCTTCAGCCAAGATTTCTGCCTTGAATGTTTTCAGTATCAGAAACTGACATATACATTAGTAATGTACAATACCATCCCCACTACTACTATTACTACTACTAGGAGTGTTTTTGCCATGAGTTCTATCTAGTTTTTGACAGACTGATCCCATATAGTTACCTGCAAACTCCATGTTGATTTTTTAAATTGTAGTCCTGATCTAAAAAATTCTAGGAACGTTCTTATTTTAGACACTGAGCACAATCAGGGCTCTAATTATGCCCTCATGATATTTATTATTAAGAATAAATTTCACAGAATGGTTTGACTAAAAAAGAGTTTAATAACATGAATTAGACTGAGACTTGCACTGGGCTGCCTTCTGTCACTAAGAATAAGTCTAAGGCTCAGTCTCTCACTGAGCCAAGCAACAGGCCTTCTAGGAGGTTCTTTCTTCCATTTTACAGCAGAACTGATTGAGAAGTGTAATAAAGAAAATGCCAAGGACTAACACTGAAGAAACCCTATTGGCTTTCCTAGGGTTGGTGTTTGTTTGTTTTGAGAAGTAGAGAGGGGCAAGTTGTTTTGCTTCTCAATCAGCACTAATCTGTAGTTCAAACTTATTACACTCTCCTCTCGGGATTCACTAATTTTCCTTGTTTTATTATCTTTTAAGGGAATTCAAATAAACTGAATACTGAAGTGCCCATCAGTATTGCAGTGGTGTGGCTGATTGAACTATTAGGTCAAAGTCTCTTTGTATACATTTCCAAAAAAAAAAAAGTTTAAAGAGGGAAAATTGTATGTCTGTAAGCTTGCCACCTATTCCATATTTCAAACAACTGATCCTTATTTAGGTTCCAAATGTAATGTTCTTTTTCTGGTTAGTAAGGAAATACAGTTTATTTCCCTTTTCTGGCCTTAGAGGTCTGTACCAGAAGTGTAAAAAACCATGGTAACATGCCATCTGTTTTCACACCATGAGTCAAAATTCTTATTTCTTCTTCTTCTTAAAGAAGATTAAATTATGATGAGGAGCACTATTTAAATCAGTTAGTTATAATGGCAATATTAACTGACATTGATTTTAAAATGACTTAGTTATGGCTGGTATGTCTGAATGGAATCCATTGAATAATTTGTTTCTATATAAAAACATAAAATAAATTTAATCAGTTACAGATCATTCTTCTATATGTACTGACATGTGTAACATGTTAGTTTATTAACATTTTATAATGTGTTCCTTATTTAGAGTTCTTCAGCTGGTAAGTCTCCATGCTGGCTGTAGAAAAATCTTTCTTCTCTTTCTTCTTCTCTTCCTTATACGTATATTATGCAGCTGAAGAGGAAAAAAAATACTGAAAAATGTTGAAATCTCACTGTTACAGACTGATTTCTATACAACTAAAAATAGAAGGCTATTGATTTACTGATTCATTTCTAATGCAAAGCAAGTTAATTACCCAAATATTACAGTTCTAGTATCAGCAAAGCTAAATATGCAAGTTGAATATATGAAACTATACCAAACTGTGGGAATAGAAATGAGCCACTCATTGTTCCTGAAAAAGGAAGCTAATCCTTAAGGTTTATAAACTGAAAATTTATGTTACCATTATTTGCTCAGTCTCTGAGATGTCTGTTTTCCAAATAACCTTTAAGAAGTTATTTGTTATTTATTTTTCTATGTATGCTAACCCACAAAAACAGCCAAGATACGTTATCTTCACTTATTAGGGAGTGTTCTACCCTGGTGAAGGATAGCCTGGTACTGCTTAGTAAAAAGGCATGAATCTTCTTATGTTGGAGTAAAAGCCCATCCCAGCTTGTTTTGGTTAGGTGAAGCATTAATATTGTTCATATTCATAATTTAGGGCTGCTTATGCTACTTGTGTTAAGGCCACAAAACTAATTGTACCACATCAGTGATTTAATACTTTGACTTTTGTTGGGTAGTATTTATAGGAGGAACCCAAGCATAAAAGGGTTTAATTAGTTTTAATTTGATCCATTCTTCCTAAAAGCTTAGACAATAATAAGAATAGAGATCGAAATCAGTTTGAGCTGTACAAATTTAAGAAGTGCACAAGCATTGTCAGGGCCCTGATAAAACTACACTCTAACCCTTCCAGATGTTCAGGCAGAATAGGAAGTCACTGATTTTGTCTTACTGTATAGAAAATGCTAAGATTTAAGCAGCTAATGAAGAATGTAATTTCTTGATCCCTTTTTAATAGAGTTTGATATTCATAACTATGATTTATGGATGAAAATATATGTAAAAGTTTGTATGTGCATATGCCTATTTAGTTTAGTAGAACCATGAGCACAAAACTTTATTATACCAGTTCCAGTTCAGAAGTATGGCCAGTGAATTTAAGTTTATAGCTGATGCTTCTAACTAGTAAAGTTTTAAAAATATTTTTAATTATCTGTGTAGCATCATCAATTTTAAAAAGAAAAGGGAAAATGTTTAATAAAGAAAAAAAAAGTATCTCTAAGCACTCATACTTTCACCATCCACGCTCAAGAGGGCTATCATGCTATTTCTCCATATGCCATCTAGCTCAAAAATTAATTTTGATATGGAAGAAGGTTTTTGGTTTTTTTCCCTGTCAATCTCGTATTCCAAAATCACTACATTTCACAATTTAAGTTCAATTTAACTTCAACTTTAATACAACTTTAATTTTAACTTTAATTTTAACTAAATTCTAACTTTAATTCTAACCAAATGTAATCTTAATTTAATTCAACATTAATTAAATTTAGAGTAGTTTCTTGAATGTGTGATATCTAAGGGTGAGAAAAATCAATCCTATTTGAAATGTTAGTGGCTCTTGACACCACAAGGTTTGAGTACCTCTGTTTTATGGTGGTGTTGTGACTCATTGTGATTTTATCTTTAATGAAATAATACCATTTTTAAAAGGCACATTGGTATGTCATGATTATTAATCACTTTGAAATTTCTCTTTTTGAAGGGCTAACATGGCAAACTATCGATAGAACCAGCTGTTTAATTGAGATAACGCCCCCTGGATATTATATGGTAATAGAACAATAAAGCTTTTCAGAAATGATAGCATTTGCTTCCTAACATGTTTCTGTTGTTGTTGTTGTTGTTTTTGTCTTTGTGGTTTTTTACTTATCTGTCTCTAAAATGGAGTTCTGTCTTTTTGTTTTAAACTGGCCCTTTTTATGGTAATGGAAAAAAAAATCTCAGTGGATGGTAGCGCTCACTTGATATTTGCAGCCCACATCTGGAAGCATCACTTAATCTGATTAATCTGAGTTAGTATCTATCAGAAATTTCTTTTTTTCTAATTGTTTTATTTTCTAATTTTCTTTTTTATAATAACTTTATTAAATTTTAGAATACAAAAAGATAAAAACTGACAAGAACTAGAAATTAAGAAAAGGAAAAGAGAAGGCAAAAGAATAAAGAGAG